ATATTGCGTGCCGAGTTGCTGCGCCTTCAGTTGATTCTGGTGGAGGTCAATAACTTGCGTGCCAAACACTTGTGATTTTTTTAATCAAACATATATGCAATTGCCCAGTCACAGCCAGTCACACAGGAGTGTCTGCCGCTGCAGGCCTGCACAGCCAGTCACAGGCAGTCTGCCGCTGCAGGCTTGCACAGCCAGTCTGTTCCTGCAGGCCTGCACAGCCAGTCACAGGCAGCTTGCCCTACAGCCAGTCATTTGCTCCCTTTGAGTGCATGTAGGTCACATTGCTAATACCCCATGGTCAAATTTGAGACAGACCAACCAATCCAACTGGCAAACACTAAAAGAAGTTCATGCGGCACCTAGTTTCAAACTGAACAATTTCCTTCTGCTGGGCTTGCGTGAGCTGCTGCTGCAGCTTCCAAGAGCCGCACCGGTTGATGATGCGTGTCGCAGGCAAGCCATCATGTCCCTTCCACTCTCCCACATTGCCAGTGCTGATGTCGGCATCAACAACCGTCATGAACTCCTTCAGCTGCTCCCACGTTGCCCCTGCTGCGTTGGGGATACGGTTCAGCACTGTTGCCGCTGCCTCCTCTGTTGCTGCCTGCTGCTGCGCTGCCTCATTTGCCTGTGCCGCGGCCGTGACCTCATGCGGGCACTTTCCTTTGGTCTCTGCGGAATTGCAGCAGCGGCCGGCATCAAGGGCCAAGAATCAGGTGGCGGGCATCTGGCCAGCGGTTGTAGGCCTGCGAATCTAATGGCCTGCCTGCACCCTGCTGTGTGTCCCATCTGCCCCCTAACTTACCCTTCCAGATGTGTTTCTTGATGAGGTCGACATCTGTGCTCAGCAACCAACTGTGCAGGTCGGGCCACTGCTTGGTTATGCGCTCCAGCACTGCGGCGGCAAAGCCCACCTCGCCTTCCTTCTTCCTTGGCTTCCGCACCTGGCAGATTGCCGGATTCCACCGTGCCATATGCTCCTCTTTAATTGCCGCCTCGAGTGCCACCATCTGCAGGGGCAGCATGGCAGGGTATTCCATGATTAGGCAGCTTAAGAGTAATAGGCAACCAATGAACCAGCTCGATAAAAGAAGGAACAAACCTGCTCAGCGGTGATGCGCGCAAGCACCTCGCGCGGTCCCGAGGCGGCCACCGGGATGTGCTGCCTGCATTCCAAGGACAAACAGAATGGGGTCGAGGGAGCAGCAGAGAGGGGCTAGAGGGGTGGGCCAGGCAGGCGCAGGGAGAGCGGGCAGGTGGGCTGGGCGGCACACAGGCTGGCGCCACGTCAGCACATTTTCAACCCAAAAGGACTTCAGAATCGACATCAGCGCCCTCACAAATGGGCGGGTGCAAGTTTGCAGAGCAATCTGAGGGGGCTGGAAAAGTAGATGGCTGCTGATGGAGGCCTCCACCCCCCCCCGAGAGACGCTCTCGACAGCCATCTGGTCCAGATGGGTGACTGGCAGCCTGTCACCAAATCCCACCAAACTTGCTGGGCACACCCAAGGGCACCGTAGGGGTGCAGGGCAGGGCAAGTTGAGGCTGCAGAGGGCATGGTTTCGTGGAACCGGCGCCCCGCCGGGCGCCATGGGGCAGCAGCGCATTGCCGTGTGCCCTTGCACCCTCGTCCCAACGCCCCCGCACTGCCCGCCCTAAACCAATGAGCTCACCTGCCATCTGCAGTCGCGGCTGCCGCATTGCCCTCATCATAGAGCATGTGGTCTGCAAACTGCTTAGGCGGTTTCCGTACGCGCTTGCCCAGCTGAGCGCCCAACGGCGCGTGCTGCTCCGCTGCCGCTGCCGCAGCCGTGGCAGTGATGCATGCAGAAGCGTCAACCTCCGCTTCGGTGTCGCTTTCGTCATCCTCCACGACCTGCTGCCGCAGCCTGCGCCGTGGCTGTGCCGCCTGCACAGCAAGGGATGAGCTGAGGGAGGAACCATAGAACAACAACACCTGGTGTGTTCCAGCAGATGTAGGCCAACAAACCAGGCAACGCACCTGTCCCATGGGCTTGCCGCCACGCTCGACAACGCTGCCACTGCTTGCCTCGCCTGCGGCGGCACCCGTTTGCGTGCGCGCGCCCGCCTGTACAGCCATGGTTGGCACGCTGTGGGTG